GAGGTGACAGATTTCCTAGTTATTATGACTTGTTTTATCTAGTAATAGGTAAAAAATGGATGGTATCTGAGCAACACATGGGTATGCTTTATATGCGCAGTGGTAGAGCGAGCTCTATATGGTACTTGATGAAAAAAAGTGAAAAGTAGTTGCAGGCAGTTCCCATATGCTGCAGTACACACTGAAGACAGTCAAAGATCTCTCCTAAGGATAACATATCGCTGCTTGTGAAACAAACAAACAAGTTGCTAAAAGAAAAAAAACCACCACCACACATGTGGATTATGCTCTGTGATGCCAACCTGAGATCATTTCCTCTTACTCACTTCCTAAAACAAAACTCCTCCTTTCTGAAGTACAAGTTCTTTCGGTTATTGCCCCCCAGTTTCATCTCTTAGGTATTTAAGACAGTCTTTCTGTCCTGGGAATCCTTCTTTAAAGGGACTTAAAAGTGCTCCAATTCCAACTATCAGGGATTTCTTAAATTGAAAAATATTGCGTTTTAATATCCCATATAAAAGCTAATATGCATTAATCTAAATATGCTGCAACGGTTACATAAATTGCAAGATATGCAGCATGAACTATCTGACCCTCTCTAGAACCGAAACACGAATAAGTGCCATTTCAATGACTACATGAGAAAAAGCTTCTTTTGGCTTGATTTTTGAAAAAGAGGCCTATAAAAACACCTTTCAGGCTAAGGCATACTGCTTCAACGCAGACAGCTGGTGAAAATAAAAAAGCTGCAGGAAAAGATAGCTACAAGGAGGTTTCAGGTGAAGCCTTTGCATCTTCTGTGAACACCTGGCTCTCTGCGGTATCTCAGTCTCCCTGAGTCTCTTATCTCCCTGAGACTGAGATATCACAGAGGCTGGATGATCACGAAGGCTGGACATCATCGAGAAGCAGAACCAGCCCTCCCTCCCCTTCCCAAAGCAAGGGCGAGCAATGATCCTAAGCAGAAGGAAACGCTCCCCAGGGCAACAACCCGGGGGGGAGGGTGAGGTGCTGCAACCACAGCTCCAGCGGCCCCGCAGCCCTCTCCTGCCTGTCCCTCCCAGAGCGGCCTCACACAAACCGGAGGGGAGAGGGAAGGGAACGTCCCCCCTCACGGGGACCCCGTCCCCTCTCTGTGGGGGCGAGGGCTGAGGCCGCACCAGGGGGAAGATCCCACCAGGCCTCCCCCAGCGGCCAAGGCCTCCTCAGCGTCCCCAGGCCCTCTCAGGCCGGGCTCCCCCTACCCCAGGCCGGGCTCATCCCCCCTCACGCCGAGCTTTTTCCCCCCCCTCACGCCCCCCTTACGTGTTGTCCTGGTTGAAGTTGGCGAAGAGCAGATGGCCGCTGCCGGCGTCGCCGCTCTGACCGGCCAAGTTCATGGCGGGACGGCCCTCGCCACCCCCGTCCGGCGGGGGTAGGGAGGGGGGTTGGGGAACGCCTCCAAGGCAAGGCAGCGCACCTCAGCCCCGGCGGTCC